ATGGTTAGAGGCCAGACAAACTCAGCCTCCTGGTCCTCCAGGTTGGGGGTTGGAATGGGGGTGGCTCCTCATTTCATAAAACGGGCTCTGTAGTCCAGTGCCAAAACCCGCTGCCTTGCGGTAAGGTTTTTGAACCAAAGGCTTTGGTTGAGAACCCTAATCGTTCTCCTGTCTAGGCCTGGGCAACCTGACAGTATTCTGCCCACGCAATACAATGAACCTTTCCTACAACAATTTCTTGATGCTCTGGCCGTCGCAGAGGATAATAAACGGCGCCCTATCTGCTGCATCGAGCAGGGTGGATAGGGGTTTGGATGCTACTGCTCAGGCCTTCCCGTCTTCTTATACCCCTTCTTGCGCTTCTGCATCCTTATCGTCCCGCTCCAACTTTACTTTATATCCCCCATTTTCAATCCCCCAATTCTTGGCCCTCCCCCAGCTTACTTCAATAGTCGCTTGTCTTCTAATTTCAAATCACACACAATCGCAGGGCCTCGCTCCAATCCAGTCGACAAGTCCATGTTCAACCAAGCGGACAACGTCAGTTCATCCGTTTCCCTTTGGAGTCCTCGTGTCTCGCTAAGACTGGCATGCCTCAACGTGCGCACTTTGCTGCAGATTGGCCAACAGGCAGCACTTGCCCGCACACTAGAGACCCTATCGATCGATATTTGCTGTTTATCAGAAACCCGCCTGCAAAGTTCGAGCTCCGTGCTTACCCTGAGATCCCCCACATGCGACACTGGCGGCACATTCTCATTGCGCCTATCTGGCGATGATGCAGCTTCAAATGCCGGTCAAGCTGGCGTCGGCATTGTTTTGAGTCCCCGGGCTGAAGCTGCCCTGATTGACTGGATCCCAGTAAACAGTAGGATGTGCGCCGTTAGATTAGCTGGTTCGTTCCGTGCTACGAAGTCGCGCGGGGACAAACGGTGCCTGTTTGTCATTGCGGCTTACGCCCCTACAAACTGTAGCACTGACTCGGTAAAAGATGATTTCTATCAGCAACTGCACGAGCTCCTTCGTTACAGAAGAAACACGGATACTGTGGTGTTGGCTGGTGATCTAAACGCCCAAGTCGGGAAATTGTCCTCTGATGAGCTTCATCTGGGCGGCCAACATGGTGTGGGCTCCCGTAATGATAATGGTGAGCGATTGCTACAGCTGTGTGAAGATGCTCGCCTCTTTCTCGCGAGCACTAACTTTCGACACAGCACCCGCAGAAGTGTGACTTGGCGGCCACCAGCCTCGGGCCAGTCATGGACGCAAATCGATCATATCGCGATCAGTTACCGCTGGAGAGGCTGTGTCCAAAACTGTCGCTCGATTTGGAGCACGAGCGTGGACTCTGACCACGCACTTGTATGTGCCGACCTCCTGGTGCGTTTCGGTGGACGTCCGCAACGTCGATGTGAACGGATTGACACTAGCCAGCTGGCGAAGCCAGATGTTCTGAATGCGTACCAAGATGCGCTGACATCTGGGCTGAGTAAGCGCCCACTAAACACCGTTGAAGATCACTGGTCGCATACTCGTCAAGCGTTGCTATTAGCAGGCATGTCTTCATGTGGCAAAACAAATTGCAAAACCGGACATTGGGTCTCTACACAGTCTCTGGAACTTATGGATGCTCGCCGACGTATTCCGGCTGGAAGCGTATACAATGAAGCTCGCAAAAATCTCAGGGCGAAACTACGTGCTAGCCTAAAGAAGGACCGCGAAACCTGGTGGTCTCATCGTGCCTCTGAGATGGAAACAGCCGCTGCCATTGGTAATCATCGTAAGTTATACCGTCTGATACGGGCAACAGGCAGCAGGAGACCTGGTGTTAGCGAGACCATACGCGACGAGAGTGGGCAGATGATCCACAGCCTGTCAAAACGCTTGGAGCGTTGGGCTGAACACTTTGCTATGCAATTTAACCAACCTGAGTTATCGCTTTCTTCGGGCATTGAGCGCCCTTCTCCTTGGGCCGTCTCCTTGGATCCGCCCTCACGCGCAGAAGTCGAACGTGAGATCAAGCTGTTGAAATTGCATAAGGCCGCAGGAGCAGATACAATTCCTCCAGCCCTCTTCAAATTCGGTGGACCTGCTCTAGTAGATGATCTTCACGAGTTGCTAGTAAAACTTTGGGAGCAGGAGACAGTCCCGACAGACTGGAACCGCTCCGTCATTGTCCCAATTTTCAAGGGAGGCTCCCGTTTAGAATGTGGCAATCATAGAGGGATCAGTCTGATTTCGATTGCCTCTAAATTGCTTGCCTCTCTCATTCTCCACAGACTGACTGGCACTCGTGAAAGCCAGATTCGTGAAGAGCAAGCCGGATTTCGTCGAGGTCGGGGCTGCATCGACCACATCTTCACATTGCGTCAAGTGTTGGAGCACCGCCATGTTTATTGGCGACCCACCGTTGTCGTGTTTCTTGACATAAAGGTGCCTTCGACTCAGTCGATCGATGTGCCCTTTGGGACTGTCTGTTGAGGAAAGGTGTGCCTGATAAATATGTAAACATTATCAAAGCGCTGTACGCACATAGTTCGGGCAGGGTGAGGGTTTATGGCAAACTCTCGCCACCCTTCAGTATCACCAGCGGTGTGAGACAAGGATGCCCGCTGTCACCTTTCCTCTTCAACTTCGCTATTGATGAAGTCATGGAAACAGCGTTCGCTGGACACGACCTAGAAGGTGTGGAGCTACTCCCTGGTGAGCGACTTCTTGACTTGGAGTATGCAGACGATATTGCCCTAATCTGTGACAGCTCCCAAACATGCCAAACAGCACTGAACCGATTAGCACTGGCTGTCAATCGTTTTGGGCTATGCTTTGCTCCATCGAAATGCAAAGTACTTCTCCAAGATTGGCAGGGACCCAACCCTGCGCTAACGCTTGGTGGTGATCTGCTAGAAGTCGTTCAGGAATTTAAGTACCTGGGCAGCTATATTAGCACCCGTGGGATTGAAGATGAGGTTACGAACCGTATAGCAAAAGCTCGAGGTGCTTTTGCCAATCTCCGCCACCTGTGGCGCAGACGCGACATTACTCTCGCCCTCAAGGGCAGAGTTTACAACGCAGCCGTACGTTCAACTCTCCTATATGGCTGTGAAACCTGGCCCATCAGGTCGACAGACATGAAGAGACTCGTCACATTCGATCATCGCTGCCTTCGCAGCTTAGCTCATGTCTGGTGGGAACACCGCGTGAGCAATGAACGTGTTCGGCGTCGCGTATTTGGTACAGGAAGAGCGAGTGAACCGCTCAGCACCATTATATCACGCACCAGGCTCCGATGGCTGGGCCACGTGTTGCGCATGCCAGCACACCGACTCCCACGACGTGCATTGTTTGCGCGTTGTGGGTGCGGTTGGAAGAGGAGGAGGGGAGGCCAAGTGATGACTTGGTCGAGAGAAATGAAAACCCTCACTTCGAAGTTGGCGTCGGTTGGTGCATCCCGACTGCCTGGTTGGGGTCCTAAGGACGGTGAACACGTTTGGTTGGACACACTTGCTGATATGGCTAGGAGCCGGCCCCAATGGCGTTTGTGTTGTGAGTTCCTTTGTCCATCCCCCTCCTGTTTAGCATCCCCCTCCAATCACGATCTCAATCGTTAGGCATAATATGACTTTCTTTTACGGCAGCCAGCTGTTAGCTCTCCGGAACGATGTCCATCCGTTACTGGGGACTCAGCGGGCGTGCCACTGTTTTTTGTTTTTTTTTCTTTTCTTGCCTTTTGTATTGCGGCACAATAGCTGAGGTGTTTTCCACCTCCAGCTAACGTGTAATGATGATGATGATGATGATTCTCCATAAACTACTCCTACTGGTTCATTGGGCAGGGTAGTTTCAGGTGCAAATAAGTGCAATACAAGTGGTGAGGTGCATTGTTTTCGAACAGGCATCACTCATTATCCGTACGTTTCGGTTATGGTCCCAGTGTTGGAATTGACCAAAGTTCGCTACAATGCGATTCGCGATCCACATTGAGATATTGCATCGCAATCGATCCACCCAACAGGTGTCTCCAAATGATCCACCCAATTAACTGAAGCGTTGATCCGGTTGGGCTCCATGCGACCTAACCTATTTATTTCTAGTTCTTACATAGCGTAACCGGTAACCGTCGCTAGTGGCGCTTTTGCAGTCTCCTAGTTTGTGCGGGGTTATGTGCAGCGAAAAACGGATTATGGCTTGGAGTAGTGTAAGCCGTAAGGAAGCTGCTTCTCTGATGCCGCCCCATCTTCGCCCTATAGCTCTATCCTGACCGTGAGTTGTCGGCACACTGCAAATGCATTCATTTTAACTGTTTGTTCATATCTTTAGGCCTTACACTAACTTCTGCCTACCTCTTCCTCTGCTTCCTCATCAGCAGGATCGTCTCTTAATTTACGGTCGTATGACAGTTAGGCATCATCAAGCGTGGAAAGCTATTGCAGTTGGTGATGATTTGTTGGCTGAGTTTTACCGCCACCAATCTACAGTGTGCGCCAACGCGCTGGTTTCACTAATCTATAGGTTACTACGGAATTCTAACTTTCGGGACAAATACTGCACCTCACAATCCACTCTGACTTCCTTTAGTTACCGTACTTTTACGTTACCACTTTCCTCACTTTATTTCACTACTGGTTACCCAAATGCTGCCCCTTTGTCTCTGGTTCGTCTGCTACTCATCCGTCATCACTCTCGACTTTATTACGATTAGCGTGCTGGCATGCTTACCACAATAACCAGCCACGTACCACTCTGTTTTCTTTTCTCACTACGATGGCACCTATATATCCAATGTGGATCGCATACTCTTTGCCTACTTTATTAGCGCTCTTTGCAGATGGGATCATCTTTTGTTCAACCGGTGGCTAAGTCTGCCGCATGTTAAATTTTGCTGTCTGCGGACAGCTGTTCCACTTTCATATGTGTTCTGACCGCCATTTAACTGACTCGTTTTTGTTATTTCCCGTCTGCTTTGCATTAACTCATTTGACTTATACTACTTTACGCTATAGGTGGGCTCTAGCCACTCTCACAATACTCGGTCGAAGCGCATGGATCAGCGCTAGAAAGTTGACGCGTTTCATCCTGGCCGCACAGGACACAGAAACTGGTGGAATCGCTGATCGTCCAGGAGATGTTCCCGACCCGTTCCACACACTTTTTGGCCTCGCTGGCCTTTCGCTCATCGCCCAGGCAGATTGTCCATCCACCACAAACGTTACTAATGACAGGGTCGGTGATATAATTGAGGATGATTTTGTAACCGCAGCTCTTTTGACGGTGAAAACCCGTCTCAAGCCCATCAATCCGGTGTTTTGTATGCCCCAATACGTGATTGACCGTATGCACCTAAAAATGCAATTGATTACATAATCCGGCGAGCTAGCTTTTTCTTGTGCATTTTTTCACAAATGAACTATGATCATTTTGAGTGACTGTATCTGGTCTGCCTCCAATGGCCATCCCGTTCTTCTCTTTTTGCACATTTTTTGTATTTTTCCACTATCCCTTTTATGCTGCCTGACTAAATGATATTCTCTTGTGGCCATTCGTTCGATGCCCTTCATTCCGGATAACTTGGCTTACTGCAAAGGGAGTTGGCCGCTGATCACCTATACATATTTGCGAAAATAAATGGGTCCACCTGCAGAGAGATTATCGTATCACTCGCAGTCTCACCATCTCCTTCGATCTGCACCGTGGACGATTCTTACCGGAGGTCTTGCTAGTAACTTCCAAGTTCCTCTTATCCTGTCCGGTCGCTTCTTGCGAAAATTCTTGATCTTGAGAAACTTTTGCAACGGAGAATTTTGGAGCGCAAATATCGTGGTGCTGCAAAAAATTGGTTGCATCCTGACATTGAGGATGAAGTCGTCCAAGTTCATGGTTATTGACATTTTCGACCCGATCAAAGAGAAAAGCCTCAGCATCGCAGTGATCACCTACATTAGTGAAGACTAGTGTACATCTGTTTCATAGCTGACCACTTACTCAACAACTTCATTAAGCTGTCATCTGTTGGAACGTAAAACAAGTTTCCTCGTGGTTTCTCTGTTATAGTTAGGAACGTTTATTTAGCGCCTAACGCGGCACCTTCAGAGAGGACGTTTTTGCGAGTCTTCTTATCTCGAGGTTGCAACTGAAGTTAGAAGTTTCCATCTGCATCACATCTGGGCTTCAATAAGGATGACAGTTTTCATTAGCATGCTGTGTCTAGCCAACTTGGTGGAATTCACCATCAGACTCTACCGATATTACGATTTAGTTTTTAATTACAAACACAACCTGTATTCCATGCTACGACGCGTCCCTCTTGGTAGTTCCGACCACCGCATCATGAAGACGTTGTGATGGCATGGTCATTCTGAACTGTTAAACGGCGGAAAAGCTTGCTAAGCTCAAATCGACCTATTCAGGCGACTTACCAATTTTCGCAAATATGGACCTGTCAGGTCAATGTGAGTACCTCACAGACTATATCAATTTCTCCTTCAATCTCTATTGCTCTATTGAAACCATCTATCTTCAGATTGGTAGCTTTTCATCTCCATTACTCAAGCAACTGCGTATAAAATAACAAGTCTACAAATACGCGCTAACGACCCGTGTCCAATGTCTGTCTGCGGCTATAAAAGCCGAGATAAAAGGTTAAATAGCCTATACATTAAAGCCGTCTTAGGAAATCACGGTCGTCGTGACCGGTGAAGACTATTGATGCAATTAGCTTCTAGTAGCCCACTCAGTACTGTGGATGTGAACAAGTTCAACGCAGAGTTTAACTCCTCATCATCGAACACATTCCCACTATTCTTCTTCACCACCACTGATCCTCCCACTTTATATGATCAGATGAGTGTTTATAGGGAACGCACAAGAATGAAACCAAACAAGACTAATGGCCCTGATTCCCTATCACTAATCACTCTGCAAGTGGGTACGGATGCACTACAGCCACTTCAGAGAGAGATCTTCAACCGACGTTTAACAACTGGCACCATTCCCGACATATGGAAAGCAACCTGTATAAAACCAGTGCTTAAGAGGGAATCACCAAAGTATCAACTAACAGCATGCACCTCCACGCTGTTGAACGTATTTGAAAAACCACTGATTCCTCGAATCTTTGCAAGCAATCATAAGAATGATATCAAACAGTTTACATACAGGCCACAGCGCTTCACATTGGATGCGGTTTCATACCTTGTGTCTTCCATTGCATCTTCTTCGGATAAAAAATTACAAGACTGCGGCTCCTGTTCCTTGATTATGTTAATGCCTTTAAGAGCCTTACCAGATCAGTACTCTTAAAACTTGCTCGAAAATGGCGTTTTCCCTTATGTATGTAATGTAATGCATGACTGTTTTACGATTGGCACACACTTCACGCAGGTTTTCAGCACTTTTGGCCACTTGTAGTATATTGCTGAATACTGTATTGTAGGCGCAAGTAAAATTTTCAATCTGTACAATTTCATCAAAAATGTAAAGCAATCAATAACTTGTCATTACTCGATCATTATTCCCTTTATCACGTGTCATCGTTAAGAAAAATCGTAAATTAAGACCAAACAATGTATGATGTGTCCGTGGGTAATTGTTCACGGAATCTAATATTTGAGAAATGCACATCCAACGATCGTTTGAACTACTGCACTGAGTTCGCTTTCAGTAAATCGTTCCAAACATTTACCACTCATCGTTCAAATAGCAAGGGATAAGGAACTCGCCTCGGATATGGAACGACAAGCTCCTACTAGTGTTCGCAAATGGAGCAGTGGCCTCAGCATAGGGAAGTCGTCTGTATGTAGAATTCGGTAACTCATCATGAGGTCCACTCACATCCGATAATGGTCCAGGATATATAGTCCCAATCTTTAGAACCTGTGTTCCTACGATAATCCCCGCAAACTGCGGATGAGCCTGGTAGCGACGTGTTGGACCCGTTCAATCTTCTGCGCCTCACTTCGAGTCGTCGGGCAATAGGCGAACGAGCCGTACTCTAGCATCGGTCTGATGATGGAGAAGAGGCAAATGACGGTCTCTTCAGACCAGATACAGAAGCTACGTTTGAGTGCCAAGAGCATGCGCAGTTCCTTGATATAAGCCGTTCGTGTTGTCAACAGACGTCCAATCGCAAGGTGAGAGTACTCTAGATCCTTCACGGTAGGTGTGGGATCTGATAGTTGGCTGTCGACGATTTAGGTTCGACCGTCACCCCTCATCCCTAACTTCATGAATACCGATTTGGATGGGTTGCCCGGAAGGCAAACCACATGGAAAGGTGGCTTAGGTCTTGTTGAAGTAAGCCGCAGTAGTCGTAAGTACTTATCACTCCACATCTTTATGTTGTCTGCAGACAGGGCACACGATGACCGAAGAAGCTGAGATAGGTCATCGATATAAAGAAAGAATAATGTAGGTCCCAGCACCGTGTCTTGGAGTACGCCACTGATCAAATGATACCAGTCGATCAGGTGGCCATTGACATGTACCATTCACTTCAGTCAAACGAGGATGTCTTGGATCCACTGGCGCAATGATCCACCAACACCGAACACTCTTGGCTTTTTTAGCAGGACCTCATGGTTCACGTTGTCTAACGGTTTGCTGAAATCGATGTAAATCGCGTCGACAGACTTCCCATATTTCAGTGCATTAAACCACTCATGCCTCACCATGAGCAGATTGGTGACGCAACAACGACCTGGCATGAAACTGTGCTGTGCAGGCGTCAGATCTTTTGACCGGAACAGCTTTAGAAAACTCTCACAGTCTTCTCGGCAACCTTGGCCAAAGTAGGTTTCAAACAAATTAAAATAAAACAAATCAGCCCTTCGGAATCGGCCTTACCACCAAGCATTTCCAATCAACCGGTAGTGAAACTTCCGATATAGATCTGTTGAACAGGTCAGTTACGGTATGCGAGATGATGACCGATAAGGGCTTGAGAATCATGGGGTGGAGCCCAGCTGTCTTGGTGCCGTTAAGTTTGGCAGATAGTTGACGCACGTCTTCAACACCACAATCCAGACTGTTGAGTTCGGGAAAGGTGATGAACGCTGAATTCGGTACAGACACCAGGTCAGTTACAAACACGGATACAAAGTGCGCCGCGAAGGCGGACTCACACTCAGTGCTGGTGGTAAGGAGCTGTCCGTTCGTGTCTCACCGGTAGGTTACCTGTTGACCTCAGGCGCGGCTTCACGTACGCAAAGATTCTCTTCGGGGCGTGTTTTGCTGTGGTTGCCAGCTGCTCTTCGAAATGACTATGCTCATTCTTTTTCACACTGCTGCAGATATTTCGCTTCTTTTTATACACCTTATATTCGTTAACCGAGCCAGAGATAAGGAATTTATCCCATAACCTGCACGGCTGCCGAGCCAGGTTACCATATTGTCGAACGAATGTGGCTTGACCGGTCCGACTTTCCGACACTTGAAAGGCACCAATTGGTTGCACAATGAATTGATTCCATTTTATCCCTGACCAGCAAGCTTCCGCAGATACAGATTGCGACAGAAACCAATCCACTTAGCTTGCGGCTCGAGTCAGGACGTTATTGTTGGCAAACCTTTTGACTCACGATTCAATTTTTACAGGATTCTAAACGACTTATCACTACTGTCGCGTCTGCGCGAGCTGAGTTCACTTGTCTGGTCGATCGCGCCAAAGACAGTGTGTGCCAGTCAATGATTAAATTGTGTTCACTTGTTTTATATTGGTTGGATCCCCCGGTATCAGTGTGTGTGTGTCAGTTTAACTCCAGCCTAACCATTCATTGAGCTGTTTTACATTATGTGTAGTGTTGTGCTTATGTCAAGATGCAATACAATTCGTGAACTTTGCAACTGGTGGGTTCTGCTGCCGTGCGTTCTATGGGCCGAGTGGTAACTTTGGCGACGGGATCAGATATGGATTCCTTTGCTGAGTCAGCTTGCTCCACCTGAACGGTTTTGCAAGAAAGTATCTAGCAAACCAAATTTAACGCGTTGAACTCGCTGGAATAGGACCTTCTGCGGTTATCTTGAACTATCCTCAGAAATCCGCTCATCAATCTTACCGAAACCCGATCTGTCAAACTCCTGAGACAACATCTTGGTGTAGAACGTCAAATATGCGGTACAATAGCGGAGGTGTTTCCCCACCTCTAGCTGACATGTATAATGATGATGATGATGAGAAGGTCAAAAGCATTTTGAAGCACTGCTTTTACACTGAAATGCGTCTTTGTCCGACAGTCTTAATGCACTCGATTACCTTTGGGGGTCGCGGCAACATGCAATCACAGCACGCCTGAGTTTTTCCCAGTTACGACAGGGAGTGGAAGTAGGTGTTACTGAATTCATCAGCCGTATATAACAATCCCTTCCAGACTGCCGTTATGATGAAATTCTACCCACGAAGTTTGCAGGCAATGTCATCAGAGTAGCTACTCATACCGGCTCGGAACGAATATACTGCAACAATCAACTGTCGAATGTGATTTGGGTTTCCTGGTTCACGATGACTTGGGTTGCTCCAGGCAATCCGAATAAGCCTCGTAGATTGGAAACCAAACACTTCGGGTTGTTGAGACGGGCGTTTGGACAAATAAACAGCTCCATATTTCGAAAAATGCTCAGCGCGTATGTTCGCCCCCATGTCGAATACGCAATTCAAGCCTGGCATCCATGGCTGAAACACGACCTTAATGCACCGGAGCAGCCACAGGGTTATGCATCTAAGAACGTAATTAGAATGCGCAATCTTTCATACCAGGAGGCTGCAACGATTGGGGGTATTCAGTGGCAGTTAGCGCAGACTACGAGGCGACCTGATTATGGCCTACATGATTCTGCGAGACCCACATAAGGTGTGCCGCCGTTTACTGCGACTCAGCATCAAAACAACCCTGAGGGGTCACCCATTGAAACTCGCTGTACAGTATAGCCGTCTGGAGTGCCGCAGAAATTTCTTTTCCATTCGTGTCTGTCACCCGTGGAATGCTCTCCCAGAATCGGTCGTCTCTGCACCGACACTAACAGTATTTAAAAGACGGTT